CAACTTTGTTTGCGCGTACGACGAGCTGTGCAGTAAAAGAAAATGTTCTACCAAGAACTTTTTTGCTGCATTTTTTGCAAAGAAACTTCACAGAATAGCTTAATGTAATTTTTTAAACTTGTATCGATGCTTGTTTATGAAAATAATTGCGATTCCTTAAACATCGCTTTACTTCCATTGGATCAAATTCACACAAAATTTTCCAGTACAGGAAGGGATTATTTTTCCACTTTTTTACTATTTATGGAATTCTACCACAGCACAATGTATATTAGAAGAAAGTTTCGTCCTGTCTTTCCTTATAGCATACAGAATTTCTTTTATATAAACATAGTCATGATTTAGCCAATCTGAGAGCCTGTTTCCCCAAATAACTTTAAATAGGAGGGCAGTTTTCCAAACCAAAGGCTTTCTTATCATTAAATCCACTCAGTTGATCAAAATAAACTTTCCAGCTATAGGCTAAATTACCCGGTTAAATTTCGACCTGAATTTTGTTTGCAGCACTCGCAGTACGGCATACTATCAAACCACGCGCCGGGACTGTCAAGGCTACGTGTAGACCGGAACATTACAAAGCGATGTCCAATGGGTGTGTTAAATTGCCTGACGGATTGTAGTGGCCCATGTTACGATGGCCAAGGGTGGCATATTTAAGTCGCACTTAGGCAGCCATGCCCACTTGGACGCACGTATGTGTGCGAGTTGAAGTCAGCCAAGTGTTTGCTGGTCAGCGCATCGGAAGGCGCTCACTGCGAAGTTGCATGACCTTGAGGCAGTCAAAACTAAACAAGGACGCTGGGCAGCAATATTGGCTGTCCGTCGCAAACCCCCATTCCGAAAAAAAAGTTTTTTTCATCTTTACCTCTTTCGTGTAATGAAAATAATACAGACTGCAATTTTGTGGCCACTTCGAATGCAGAATACAGTAGGACTGGTGACGCATTCCCTGCAAAAACTAAGGCTCCTTGCGTGCTGATCTCAAAGAGCATTTGTTTGCTAGGAACAGCCCCGGGCATTGCTTATAATCCCACATATCCAACATCTACAGCAGTGCCAGGAAAGTGCAAGCAGGTCGTTGGATAAATGGGACTTACATGGAGAGGCCGACTTGAGTACTAGTCATCTCGAAAGGCTGACCAATGAGGAAGAGGTTAAAGATTGGAATATCAGTCAATGCGACAATACTGGCGACAAGAAGTGTGAGTTGACCAAGTACGACCGGTGCATTGAGGAAGGAAAATGCCTGTGGGAAGAAATGACAAGATAAAGGATTTACTAACACGTCTAGTGACCCCGGTGCTACTTACAGGACTTAACTCCGACCAATGAAATAACTATCACAGTCAGTATACCGATATAAGAGGACGTTGCATTTACTCAATAATATTTCCGTCACTTTCGTGACTTCAAGTAATCCGACCAAGAGAATTCTGACTTGACAAGTAGTCAATATTTTTCGAACTTGTTATGCTCCATTCGTTAGTGAAGTAGTAAGGATATCCTGCTCGGGCGATTGCGTTTATGCACTGTGAACAACTTTACATACTCCCTTCTGCCCGAGATTTCAGAAAATGTCAGAGCTTCGGTGCAATAACTTTGATCAGTATGATGGAACGGAATAGTTTGGGATGCCTCATTTCTAGGACACCGACAACTCGCGGCTTGCTGTATGATCTGAAGTGTATGGCTTAGGCTAGCTAGTATTGCAGAAACAAAAATTATTTGACCATTTTTTTCTGAATCAGTATTTTTTACACATTGGGCTGTTTTCAAAATCAACTAATATCTCACGATCTTAGGGCATTTA